TAAAGAATGGATGTTGTTTGAATGCCAGCAAACACCAGCATTGTTTGAATGCTAGCAATTCAGCAGAAAAAAGCTTTGTCCCTGGAGGATTTCTGCTCCATCCCTAGACACGTTAACAGACTTTTCCAGTAGCTGTACTGGCCACAAATGCCAGGGCAAATTAATCATTAAACACGCTTGCTTTTAAACCATGTATAATATTTACAAAGGTACACTCACCAGAGGTCCCTTCTCCACCTTCAGGGTCCGGGAGCCCGCCTTGGGTGGGTTCGGGGGGTACTGGCTCCAGGTCCAAGGTGATAAACAGATCCTGGCTGTTGGGGAAACCGGTTTCTCCGCTTCCTTGCTGTGAGCTATCTACAACCTCCTCCTCATCATCATCTTCCTCGCCCCCAAAACCCACTTCCGTGTTGCCTCCCACTCCTTGGATGGAGTCAAAGCACGGGGTTGGGGTAGTGGTGGCTGCACCCTCTAGAATGGCATGCAGTTCATCATAGAAGCAGCATGTCTGGGGCTCTGAACCGGAGCGGCTGTTTGCCTCTCTGGTTTTTTGGTAGGCTTGCCTGAGCTCCTTAATTTTCACGTGGCACTGCTGCGGGTCCCTGTTATAGCCTCTGTCCTTCATGCCATTGGAGATTTTTTCAAATATTTTGGCATTTTGTCTTTTCAAATGGAGTTCTGACAGCACGGATTTGTCTCCCCATAAGCGATCAGATCCCGTACCTCCCGTTCGGTCCATGCTGGAGCTCTTCGGCGATTCTGGGACTGCATGGTTTCCTGTGCTGATGGTCTCTGCATGGTGACCTGTGCAGGTGAGCTCACCACGCTGGCCAAACAGGAAATGAGATTCAAAAGTTTGTGGGCCTTTTCCTGTGTACCTGGCCAGTGCATCTGAGTTGAGTGCTCTCCAGCAGTCACAACTGAGCACTCTGGGATAGCTCCTGGAGGCCAATACCGTTGAATTGTGTCTACAGTACCCCAAATTTGACCCAGCAAGGCCGATTTCAGTGCTAATCCCCACATCGGAGGTGGAGTAAATAAATCAATTTTAAGAGCCCTTTAATTACAAAAAAAAAAAAGGCCTTTGTTGTGTGGACGTGTGCAGGGTTAAATCGAGGTAATGCTGCTAAATTCAACCTAAACTCGTAGCATAGACCAGGCCTTACACTGTTCTCCTGCTGGCAGCTGCTATAGGAACCATGGCTAGTGAAAAGGGGTGTGACCAAGTCCTTCCTGGGCCCTGTGATCTGCAGCTGCTGTACTGGCCCTCTGGGGCTCTTTGCAGATGGCAGAAGTCAAAGTGGCTCTCAAGCATCTCTAATTTACATGAGGGAACTGGCCAAGCGCGTAGCTTGCCAGGATATAGGGTGTGGATTGGTGGCTTAAAGCTATTTTTGCACACCTCATCCTCTGCATTATGGTCTCCTGCCACAGTGGACAGGGCAGAGGCTCTTCTGTGCCCAAGAGATCTCTAAGTTGCTCTTACCTGTGCTTGGGGACTAGCTCAACACACAGCAGCCACAGGATCAGGGAATCCCCAGGAATGTTGTAGAGTCATGTCCTCAGCTGCATTTGAGAGGAGGGAGCTCAAAATCTCCTGAGTCCTCCATCCTTCAAACACAAGGACTTCTCCTCCCCACCCCAAAAATGTTGAATGTGATGCATTGTTGGACCTAGTTAATTAGAAGGCAGGAGCTAATTCTCATCTTGTTGCATAGGTTTTATGCTGGTGTAACTGCAGTGATTTCAATTTACTCCACTGTAAGTGAATTCAGAATCTGGCTGAGAGACCCAAATAAAAGCAAAGTTCAAATCCTTCAGTGAAAGTAAAACTTTTAAAAATGAATGAGCAAAGAAGAGGGAAAGTTTCAAAATCCCTATGTGACTCTCTTTCTTGAAAAGTTTTTGTCTTATAACTTTTTCAGGCCAATAAGAATAGCAGTAAAGCTTTAATTCGAAGTGACCAGCATTGTGATATTTACCCTTTAAAAAAATCTCTTGTAAATATCAAACAGTTTCTGAAATTAGCGAGCACATTCATTTCAACATCTTCCTATGCAGTTGATATCACCCAGCAGGAGGTAGTAAGCTATTTCAATATAATTTACAAGTTTTTATAAACTTGTAAAAATATGGATTACAATGCTTCCTTTCAGCATAATGATTTTATAGAAGATTTTAATTGGCTCTCAAGATACCTCCGTGACATCCATGGCCTTTCAGTTGTTCATGCAAACATGATCTGTGCATTACTTTAGAGCCTTATTCAAATTAAGCAAAATGAAATTTCAGCAATTCATCTCACTTCTGAAATTCACTGTTTAATGTCTAGTGGGATGGAATACTTAATGTCTTAATGGTGTGAGAAGTATTTGGATAAATTATGCATGAATTAAATCTTGCTGGGAAATAGCAAAAATGCAATTCAAGTATTTGGGAAGAAAATATGAATATTTCTGTGGATTAACTGTAAAGAGTTTGCTTGCTTTTTAAAGGATTTATAAGTTAGATTTTGAATAGGGATCCCAATTTTCTGCACATACTAGGGGTTGGAGGTAAGTTAATAGAAACAGTGTTAAGGTAAATGTTCTCCGCTAAAAAGGTAAAACTTTTAGATATGTCTTTCAAAGACAGTTCTGCATCCTGGGGTGCCCGGAATTTAGATTGCCAGTCCCAATAGTGATCATAATACACTACTGTAATGCCGACTGTATATGTGCACAACTGTCCTCTGCTGCATGGCTGAAGAACTACTACACTATGTCCTAGGCCCTATAGTGGTGAACTGGCGTGTGTGTGTGTGTGTGTGTGTGTGTGTGCGCACACACATGCACACCATAGTCTTCTAACAGATGCAATCACAAGTGCCCAACCATGTGTCATAGGAATTAGTAGAGATTCTTCTTTAGCACAAGTGATACTAGCCAGGAGGATTAGTAGTAGAGGAGGATTCGAATAGTGGCCTAATCTTTGTGGTCCTGTGCCCTCTCTCACCACCTGCTTAGCCCTACCACAAGTCCTGGAGGAGCTCACAGGGGTGAATTATGGAGATCCCAGAGCCAGGGTGAACCTTTCCCAAACAAGCCAGCATTTGCTAAGACAAGGTTTCAGAGGGTAGGTCAGGGCTTTTTAATCTTTTTAAGCCAAAAAGAGTCTGCACAGGCCCCTGACATCATCATTCCCTGAAACCTGGACTCTGGACTGCTCCTTATTCCCCCTTATTCCCCCCTACCCCCCATGTGCTGAATTGCCATTACTTGTTGGTCCCCTGCATCCCAGCCTTTAGCCGCCCTCCTCCTCCTCCCCCTGCACTCATTTCCCCTTTCCCGTCCCCATACTCTCTTCTCTTCCCCCCCATTCCACCCAAAACTGTCCCCAGGAAAAATATACACATGATACTGAGCTTTTGTAATATAAGTAAAATAAACCTGTGAACAAATCAGTACCAAAAAATGGACATGGATCAAACAGGGCATGTGCCAATTGGTATCATGGCCTTTTTGCTTGAATGCTGTAGTCCTTTACACCGCCCTTCGTCTGCTTTTCTTTCTGTCTCTTTTTGAATTCTAAAATGTTTCACACAGGCTTGGTTTCCCTTTATGTATGTACAGTACCTCATCCAATGGGGTTCCAATCCTGATTAGGCCTTGGGTAGGAGTAATAATAATAAAGTCAGCAAAGTTGAACTGGAAATAAGATGCTAAACTAGGAGGGTAATTTAATGATTGGAACTACTTACCAAGAAAGTGGTACATTCTCTATCAAACAGAGTCTCTAAAGCACAATTGGATGTCTTTATAAAAGATCTAGTTCAACCAAGTTACTGGGTGTTAGGAATAACTGGCTGCTTTCTCCCAAGTCAGCTGAGGTTCTCTGGCCTGTATTGTGCAGCCGATCAGACTAGATCACAACAGTCCCTTCTGGCCTTAAAAATCTATGGGAGATTCTCATTTATACTCAGGCCCTTTTGTACTGCACTGACAGTGTGCAGAGCCTAAAAGTGTATGCAACTGTCACTTTTGCCCACTTTATGGCTGCCTCACATTGCCGGAGTGGTGTAGAATGAGACTCGGGCCCTGTGAATCTAACTATGAAAAATAACAGCTCTTACACTCGCATTTTCAAAGAAGGCCTAGGGGAATTAAGCGTCCAACTCTTGTTAAAAGTCAACTGAGAAATGTGTATCTGACTCTCTGTGGGCCCTTTTAAAAAAGATTCCCTTACGTTTTTATGCAGTCATAAATCTGTGAGTACCTAGGAGTTCAGTTCTGTGCTGGGACTGAACCCAAATCCTCCCTTTCCAGTCACTGCAGGCACTATCCTTTACCTATCTTCTAATGTAATGAAAAACACTTCCCTCTCTAGCTGGTGGAGCCAAGCTAGTACAGACCTGTATATTGCACAGCTATGGTTCAGTGGCCCCTTTGCTTTCTAAGTTTACTTGCTTTCTCCAGATGTAATTTTCTTTTGTTTTTTGTTTAGATTTCAGAACAACTCCACTGCCCACTTTCTCCCAAGTCAGAAATAGAAAACTAAAGTGCTCAGCATAAACCAGGCTCCAGGTGCCATTAGTAGTTGCGTCAGTTGCATCTGTTGATGTTTAATGCTAAGGTCTTGATGCCAAACAAACAATTAATAGACACAATTAAATCAGACAACTACAATCAACAAAGGAGGCAAGTTGATTAATAGCTGTAAGCAATATAGGCACTTTGAAGAGATGGCATATAATATTTATGGTTTAGCTTCTTGCTGTAATTTCAGTAACTGATGGTTGGGAAAGAGAACCAGGTTACACAGCATATATTATAAATTAATGATTGATTTTATCTGGCAGACACACATCTGAAAAGATTATTATCTAGGCCTGTAAAGAGATGGATAAAATAATGGTACAATTAAATTTTGATGGAATAAAGCATGTCCTCCTTGTCTTCCTGTTTGTTTTATTTTATTGGCTGGAGGGTGGATGCAATTAATTGCCTCTGTCTTTAATTCAGTCTGCAGGTGCTTTCTGTGACACACATCAAATTTTATGGGCCTTATCCTGCTGTCATTCACATGACATAATTCATTTTTGCCACCCAATGTATGTGACTGAGAAGGTTTGGCAGTCTAGGTGAGTAAAGGAAAAAGACAACGTATTTCACAGACAGTACATTTAGATTCAGGATTAACAGTCACTTTAATTACAATCATTCTAAAACATGTAATGGGATTATAATCTAATATCTTTTAGGGCCCTTTAAGAGAGTTGGGGTTAGCCCCATCTCTGATTAGCTGTCTCCCTGGTGAAGTGTTTGAGGCCAGGGATCGGGTGGTAGGACCACATGATCTGCAGCCTTAAATAGTAGGGCAACAGTCCTATCAGTTGAGAAGGATACTTACAAGTGGCTAGTCACTTGCTGGGAGTAGGGCTAGGGGTAGGGAAAGGGAAGGACTTGGCTCATCTGTTGAATGGTTTTGTTTTAGAGAAATAAATTCAACATGGAAGAAAAGGGAGTGAAATCTTGGTGCTGCTGGGAATGTTACATAATGCATTGGCTGGTGAGTTGGCCTAAAGACACAGTTATTCTCTCATATGTTATGTTGTTTTTAGTAAACCTGTAGGTATTCAATGGTAAATTGACAGCATTGCATAAGAAGTTGGTTGACTGGCTGTTGTCCATTTCATTCTTAGATTTCAAAGTTAGGAGGTTTAGTTCTTCAACGCTACACTGTAGGAGCCACTTTCTTCCTGATTCCAGCTGGTTATCAGGGGAGGACCTGAAATCTGAAAAGTGGCAGTCAACTATTAATCTTCTAATCCACTAGATTATGTTAGTACCTACACTAAATAAAACAACTACATAACATAATATTTAAGGTAGAACGATGATGATTTTATGGGATATAAAAATGGAGAATTTGGGGCCCAATCCGGCATGCTTTTTATACAAAACTCCCATTAACATCAAATCTATTGATTATTTGTGTTTGCCCCCAGAATTCCAAGTTCAGCCTTAACAATGTGGTGCAAAGTAGCATTATAAACTGTCACCTTTCAAGAGATCTCTCTCTATATATGTCTTAATGAACAAATTTGACCTTCTTTGGAAGACCTTTATATTACAAACTTGAGCAACCAAATACTGTTCCAAACTTGTAAAGAACACTATACCTTTTCTATAATCTCATAAACAGGGGTTTACAAATGTTTATAGGCTTTATTATTGTCCTTTTGACTTGAGGCTTTTACTTTTCCAAACATGAATCAATCCCAGGATTATTAAAGTGCAGTTTTCTTTTGTAAATATTGTCAACTATATTTGTTTAAGAGACCGTATAGCATAAATTAAAAAAAAAATACTCAGAGTATAGTTCCAAGATGGATGAATAAAACATCTTTTCAGATTTTGAAAAGATAAATTGCTGAAGGAGCTTTCTATATTGTTCAAAACCTGCTCCATTTATTATCCATTTTCTCCCCAGAATATGAACAATTGCTTGGTTAAAAAGTCCATGCAACCTTCTGGCTTTAAATATACTCTTCAGTTTTATTTTTAAAGATATATATTTATTTTTGTATGTCAATTAAGTGTCTGTTCCATTTAGCTCTGTGTAAAAGGGAGTTTGAATTCTGCTGGTGATCAGGGTAAATTACTTTTTTAAAAATTATTGTTCTGTGTGGCAGGGATGCTAATTGTCACAGGCATCCCTCTTTACTGAATAAATCAAAAAAATATAAATACAAAGGTTTCTGAAAAATAACCTAAAGTTAGTAAACATCCCTAGAGGGAAAGGAAGAGACTATTCTGTTGTAATGAGTCTCTTGCTTTCTTTTGAATGCTGTTATATCTTTCAGTGCTAAGTCTTTTTTCTTTTGTACCTCTTCAGGATTAATTTTAACCTTCATTCTTTGCATTATGGACCTAATCAAGTCCTCTTTGGGATGGAAGAAGTTTGCTTTGGTTTCTCAATTACAAAAGGACAGCAGCTGGTGATGGGGTAAGAGCAAATAAGAACCAACTCAAACTCAATGTACTGAAATGAAACAAGCTTTTCTTGGACAATCAGACTGTGCAGGGACTTCAGGATCTTCCTATTGATTGCACGATCTATCTGTCATATAGAATAAAATAGCTGTTTAAATATATCCATGCTAGTAAGGATCATTTTTCACTGTCAAGCGCGATTTGACCACCTAAATAAAGTTCCTAGTTAAAAGAAGAGGAATATCTGAGGAATACCTGTTTCAGGCATGGCAAAAGGTCCCTCCTTATTATGGACACCCTTACTTACAGTGAGGAGTACCCTATTCAACAAGTTTCACTGAAATCAAGGTCAATAAGGGTGTCAGGATTGGGCTCCATGCCTTTGATTATGCTGCTTTGTTGCTGAAGGGTGGAAATTTTGGGCTTCAGTGTTGGCAGGTGAATGCTTAATAGCTGCACATAACCATCCTGCTCGAAAAGCTATTGGTTGCAATGAATATCAGTTAGTCTGAGAGATCAAGTTCTGAAATACAGTAACTATTGTGCTTGACATATTAGCTTTCTGAGAGACACTAATCATGGTGCTTGCTGAGCAAAATCATCTGGGTTAATAATGGCTCCTGATTTACTAGTTTGTTAATAGTCTGACATTGCAACAGATATGTTTGGCCTTGAAATTGTTCAGACTTTTTGAACCTTTGGCATTGTAGCTGTAACAGTAAATCTACAGCTACATGAGCACCTGAAATGAACAGAAGAATACAAATAGTGTTTAAACAAGATAGGATTGAAAGGCATGATATGTGGTGGTAGGCGACAAATCTTGTTTTCCTTTATTTGATCATGTTTGATGTTTGCAGCTAAAAAGTGTGTGAGATCACATTTCTAATACAGACTAAGACTACTTTTTACTCTGTCTTATTTGCTTCTTTTAATTTTTTGTGTTCCTAACCCTGCAGATACAGGAGGAAAAACCAGCAACTGTGAAATACAAAATCTCTTTAAGCTTGCTAAGCTCTTGAGTTTCTTGTAGTCCCTGGCACACATTGCATCCATTCCTTTTTAGCTATACTCACATTAAAACATTTTCCTCCATAATCCCCATTCTCCTCAATAGTGGCAGTATTTTTATCAATAGTGTCTCCTTAGGTAATTTTCTGTTTTTTTGTTTTTGTTTTTTATTATTATTATTCTTGCCTGCATCACCACCTCTGCTTCCACTGAGGACTGGTCTATACTAGAAAAGTATGTTGTTTTAACTATGTTGGTAAGATGTGGTGTTCCACTGACCTAAATCCCTGTGTACAGAAAGACGAATCCTTCCATCCAGCTAGCGTCTCTTGCGGAGGTGGATTACTTATGCCGCTGATGGGAGCACCCCTTCTGTCAGTGTCGGTAGTGAGGCGCTGCAGCAGTGCAACTGTGCTGCTGTAGCATTTTAGGTGTAGACAATCCCAGTGTAAACTTACTTTTGAAGCACAGTTCTGCTTTAGAAACTGGTTCTGTCAAAATGGCATCATGGTGGTGCAGGTCGACTCCAGCACCTGTGACATTCAACAAATCTCTTAGGGCTTGAATAAGTGGGGAAAATTAGTGGCCTAGCTAACAGGATAGCTCTACCAGTAAAACTCCCGGTTGTGAATGCTCTATCCTGCAATAAGAGTACTCTTTTCCAGTTCACCTGATGCTGCTTTGAACAGGATTGCAGCTAAACTGGGGAGGGGAAGAGTCCTCTTATTCCAGGATAAATATGTTCATGTGCAGAGTTTTACTGGATAACTATGCAGGTAAGTATTCCTATGTAGATGAGCCTTAATCTCTGTGTATCAAAGTTCCCCTTTTGTAAATAGGTGATAATACCGCTACTTTAAAAAAGGGTATTGAGAATAAAGCCAAGATTTTTGTGATTTTTTTGTAGCTCAGATACTACAGTAATGACCAGGAATGCGTGTGTGCACACGCTCTATAGAAATACATAAAATGGATAGGAATTTAAGCTAGTCAGAAAAAGCATTTTTCCTGAATTTCTGAAGGACAAAAGAGTCACGTTAATTCTTCAATGAAAAGCTGAAAATGGAAGAAGTTTTTGGTTTTTCATTGAAATTATAAAATAAAAAAAAATTGCATAAAAACTTTCATTTTGTAAACAGGCCATTTGCCCATTGAGTCTCTCAAATGAAAAATGCTGACCAGCTCTAATAGACGTGCACACATTTTCTGTCCAGCCACTTTTCAGTTATTCTCCCTCTTTACCAGTGGAGTAAGATACAGAGAGGGTGATGTATTCAATCAATTCCATTTTTGTTTTGGCTAACTACAGGAGACAACTGTGTAGTCGTGTGCATGGAAACATGGAGAAAAGGAGAAGGGGAAATTTGGGGTTAGTGTACACAGGCAGATGTGGAAGGGAGGGAAGTAGGCTAAATGCTCAACTTGCTTCAAAGTGTCCGATGTTGCATAATACCTGTAAATCCAGAATGTTCTGCTGCTTTGTGCTGCTCCAGAGTGGCATACAGCACCTAAATTGTACTGGTGAGTCTGGCCCCCAAAGCTAAAATGTTTAAAAAAACCTCAATAAACAAACAGAAAAGAATTAAAGCTTGTAAAGCATATTTTCAAATTAGAAATATTACATGGCAATAATTACTTTTGAGTTACTTTAGTATTCATGTTTGTGTTTTTCTTTAAAAAAAAAAAACAAGGAAATTCCTAGACACTAATGTTAAGATGCAGTTAAGGTTTAGTACATTTTAGTAATTTAATTTAATTTAATTTAATTAAAAAAAAAAACAAACACAAATTCACAGTATCTCTGTTTACTCCAAAACTCTGTTTCAGGCACCCCACAGGGGAAAATTGTGTGTATGGGTGGCAAGTTTATTTAATCTGGGACCACAAGCACCAATATCCATCCAATAACCATTGTATGGTCATTGCACAGCACAACTGCACAGTAAAGTTAAGGTTGAGTACCTTAAATGTGGATTTCCATATTTTAACTGCTTGGATTTTATTTTAAATGTTTAATCTACCTGACTTTCTCGGTTGAGAATGTTTGTTTATTTTAGAATAACTGCCTCATCCCTGTCATGTATTTTACTCTAAATTAAATATGTGTGCTCAACCTTAAATCTGCTCTACCATGGCTTTTGTCTGGCAAGATGTGCATTTTGAAAAGGCAGGATTTCCCTGAAAGTATAGACCAAGGCACTTCAGTACAACTGTGTTAAGAGGCGTTTACGAAGTGTCCTGGTAATTTGTAGAATAAATATAAATTGTTTCAAAAACATCTTTAGAGTATGTCTGCAGAACAATTAAGCACCCATGGCTGGCCCAGGTCAGCTGAATTGGGCTTCCAGGGCTCTAATGTTGCAGTGCACTTTTTCGGGCTCAGATTGGAGCTCTGGCTCTGTAACAACCACCCTCCCCTATCTCTTGGGTGACCAGACAGCAAGTGTCAAAAATCGGGACGGGGGTGGGAGGTAATAGGCACCTGTATAAGATTAAAGCCCCAAATATCAGGACTGTCCCTATAAAATCGGGACATCTGGTCATCCTACGTGCCTCCCTGGGTCCCAGAGCCCAGGCTCCAACCTGAGACTGAACTTGTGTGCTGCAATTTTACAGGGCCTCAGCCTGAGCCCCAAGAGACTGAAGCCAGCTGTGGGTGTTTAATTGCTGTTTAGACATACTGTCATAAATATAAAGGGAACGGTAAGCACCTTTCTGTACACAGTGCTATAAAATCCCTCCTGGTCAGAGGCAACATCATGTTACCTGTAAAGGGTTAAGAAGCTCAGCTAACCTGGCTGGCACCTGACCCAAAGGACCAATAAGGGGACAAGATACTTTCAAATCTTGGGGGCGGGGGGAAGTTTTTGTTTGTGCTCTTTGTTTACAGGGTTGTTCTCTCTTGGGACTGAGAGAGGCCAGACAGAAATCCATCTTCTCCAACCCATCCTAATCCAAGTCTCCAATATTGCAACCAGTATAGGTAAGCCAGGCAAGGTGGATTAGTTTCTTTTGTTTTATGTGAATTTTCCCCATGTTAAGAGGATGGTTTATTCCTGTTTTCTGTAACTTTACGATTTTGCCCAGAGGGGGATCCTCTGTGTTTTTGAATCTGAATACCCTGTAAAGTATTTTCCATCCTGATTTTACGGAGATGATTTTTACCTTTCTTTTTTTTAATAAAATCCTTCTTTTAAGAACCTGACTGATTTTTCCATTGTTCCAAGATCCAGGGGTTTGGGTCTTAGATGATTTTGTAACCAATTGGTTAGATATTATTCTCAAGCCTCCCCAGGAAAGGGTGTGTGTAGGGCTTGTGGGAATATTTTGGGGGAAGATGTCTCCAAGTGTTCTTTTTCCCTGTTCTTTGTTTAAAACGCTTGGTGGTGGCAGCATATTGTTCAAGGACAAGGCAAAGTTTGTACTTTGGGGAAGTTTTTAACCTAAGCTGGTAAGAATAAGCTTAGAATGCATTTTGCTTTTATTTCATTTGACCAAATCTGACTTAACCTTACAAACTTAGATGCTTCTTACCACAGGCTGGCTGGTTGCCCTTCAGGCAGGCTCTCCCCTTTGATCAGCGCTTTAGTTGCTTGGTGGGGATATCTGTAGATTGAGGAGGAAGAGCATGGCAAATGTCTCTCCCTTTCTTCCCTTTTGGCTTTGTCCCCCCACCTCCTTCAGAGTCAGGTGAGCATTACCCCATTGCAGTCCCAAACTGACCAAAGGAAGGGGGGTGACTCACTCGAGAGCCCAACAGACCTGTTGTTGTTGCCTAGCCCAGTGTCCTTTGTTCCTGGGAGGCTGGGCTGGGTTTGTCCCATACATGCCCTGATGAGGTATGAACTGCCCCTCTGCTTCTGGAGAGTTTTTGCCTGGGCTTGCTTTAAGCCATGAGAACACATTTTCAGCCTCATAACTATACACATGAAATTACAACCTATAACATTACCATAACAACTATGCTCCGTACACCATGAGCCTTCTGAAGACACCCGACAT